ATTCCTGCATCAGCAATTTCTCATTTGTACCAATTCCCTTGTTTTCTTAAAATTATTGATCTTAAAAGTATCAAGAAGGTTAGAAATCAGATGTCAGAGGCTATAAGTTTTTATTTCAGGAGGATTAGCTTTGCCCCAGGCTACAGGAAATCTCTTCCTCAGACAAATATCTTTGACAAATATCTGCATTTGCCACAAGAGAATGACTTTCAGATCTGCTAAAAGATCCAAGTTAACTGTATATGAAGCCATGACATTCTCTCCAGCTACCTGTTTCCAAGAAACCTAAGTTTCCTGCTCAGAATTATCTTTTCTTTTTGAAAGCTCCATTCCTTTAATTCTTAATGCCATCCCCACAGCTAAGCTGGTAGTAGCTGACCCTCAGCTCTGCTTAGAGCAAAAATCAGATTTGTACTTGGTGTTATAATTTAGACAAATATTAAACGCATTGTGAACTCTTTTTATGTGTTTGCTTAGCTGACACAACCAAGAACATGGAGACAGACACTAGTGGTTTTGATCATTTAAAAACCACATTGCCTGGCAGCAGCCAGTGTAAAATTTATTTTCTTTTTGCATCGTACGGTAACTGGTTTTGATTGCTTATTGTTAGGCCTACTGTTGCCCTGAGCCTTCTTTGCCTTCTCACTTTATCTTATGCAAAAACCTAAAATATGTATAAAAATGCTGTTTGGGGATAATGCCATGACAAAGCATCACTTACTCCCATTGTTCAGTGCCACCTGGAGAACAGAATGAAGCCAAATTCTTTTCACCCTGCCAAAAATTTACTTCTTTCATTCCATACCTTCGCAAGCAGTCTGTGAGAGTGGTGGTGCCTGATACATGGCTTTCCCCATTTACGACACTGCCATCACTCCCCGGACTTAGTGGCCAGAACGGGGTGGAGGAGCCTGGCAAATCCAAACTGATGTCCCAAAATGGGTCTATCGTTGTGGAAACGCCACTATGAAAAAGAAAGCAGTTTAATACACGTTAAAGAAAGTAAAATTACAGTCTCTCTCACTTTAGAGTGCACACCAGATACTCGCTTTTAAGAGCTATGGGATCTACATCACCCCTAGAGGGCACTCCAAGATGACAGAAAATATAGTTGCTCCAGAGAGTTTTCCCACACCCGATCGTTTTTCTGAATATTTAAAAGCTGTATGTTTTAAAAAAAAACGTATGTGATGTACTAAATGCAAAATACATGTATTTAATACATTCTCCCACTCACCGGAGCCCTGCGACTCAAAGTGAACAAGCAGGGTTACTCAGAGATAGAGGTCCTGGTCATACTGCTGACCAGTATAAACCAGCTAACATCTATGATGATGGCTACGTGCAATCCAACTAGTTTAGAGGCATGGTTCTCTGGTCAAGACATGGAAGATGGTGCTTAAGGCTACTTCGATAAAGAGAACGCGAAATTCTTTTGCTATACAGTGCTGCGCTGAATTGAGCTTTGCAGTTCATATTAGCATCTCCTACAGCATTTGGAATTTGAGAGGCCAAAGAATGACTGCATCAAGAAGTAGCGTATGTTCTCAATCAGATTTCTCTACAAGACAGCTGAAGAGGTAGACTATGGAAAAAGCTTCTCAAAATTTTAACTTGTATTGACGCAAATTTTTTCTTCCAGTGTTTACATGTTTAAGAGAACTCCAGAACTTCAGGGGTCTAAGCTCCTAGTTTGGAAGCATCTTCCGTTTGTACTCATTATGCTTATTTTTCGAGTTCTCTCTTCCGCTAAAATTAGTGTCTTTCACTCTGCAATCTCATTAAGCCTACAATATTCTGCCTTTTCTCCAGCTTCATTTGTGCAAAAGTTGTCAATTCTCAAAAGAAAACTTCTTGTTAAAGTTTCATCAATGCTAATATCGTGTCATAACACATCAAGCTTTTATTATCATATAAGGATTCTGTGGCTCTACAAGGCAAAGAACAAAATTTCATACATTTTCCTTACAGTAAATCCTCTGCAAATCTCTCCAGGAAACTGAGAATAAAAGCCGATTCAAACAAGCACAGCACAACAGTCCTTCTGCAGGGCAGCGTGAGTAATTATAAAGAATGCAAGACAGAACAAAAAACAAGAACTCTGACTTCTGCACTATGGCAACACCAAACATCTTGAAAGAGAAGTCAACTTGCTGCAGTACACAGAGTACAACAACAAATACATTTTTCCTTACTCTTGTGAAATATTCACTTGCTGGTACCTGAGATTACATCAGTATCAGCCTCTTTGAAACCTCTCCTGATGATACGTGAGGCTCCTAACTGAAGTAAAATATGGTGGCATTATCAGAACTTTGTTCAAATGTAGTGGCAATTACAGGCTTTCAAAACCAAAGAGATCTTGGAAGTCTTTTCCTCATGAACTTGGAAAAGAGCAACCTTTTACAAATTAGGAAAAAGTTTATGTCCATAAGCCTGTGGTACTTTCCAGGTAGCTTTTTTGGTATGTCTTCTTATGACGGTTAACTAGTAATTGATTGCATTTAGCTGATGCTGTATTTAAACAGTTCTTGTCTTGCTGCAATTTTGCTGGTATTTTATTGGTATTCAAGAAAGAAAAGATTCAGTACACTGTTGCACTGGCGGGTGTACAGCTTCAAATCAGAAAAAAATTACTTACTGGCAGACTTGACAGGTAACATCAGACTGCAGTCCGCCTGTGAAGATTTGGTCTATGATGCAGTTACAGTGGTTGGGGTTGTTGGCCTTCTTCCCATTATCATCACCTGGAGGAATGCAAACACAAACTCAGAAGTCAAAAATCCTCCTAGGGAACAATGGTTTGTCTTGGACGGTGTCTCCAGTAACTTTTTACAACACAAATTTATGAACGTACTGCAAGTTCACATAGACAATATGGAACCCTGAAAATGTTGTGCATTAAAGAAAAAGAAGGAAACAAGAAAAGAACTCCTAGCAAAATACAGAACATAATCAGAGGGTGACTAAACGCAGTTAACTCCTGTAGAGGTGAAGCTTCAAGCCGTATCAGCTGTCAGCCAACCCCTTTTTCACAGTATAGCCCTACCCTCCTTTACAGAGATTTGCTTTGCACTATCTGGTCCAAAGATCAGTTCCTAAGATGGGGAGTTGCCAAGGTGGTTCATGAAAAAGACCATTTCAACTTCACTTAGAGGGCCACTGTGCAACATTTGTATCTAAACAAACGGCCGGCTCTTTACCACAGAAGCACTAATTTCTGCTTAGGCAGAGTATTCAATAGCACATTACTTTCCCAAATGAACGCAGAGAAGAAACGTCAGCAGATGCTACTTTTTAATTCTATCTCAGTCAACTTCTGAGAGCAGAGCGAGGGGAGGAGGTTTGTTAAGACCCATTAGCTTCCAGCCTGCTGTCTGCATCCTGTCCTTTCAACATAAACATGTACCTTCCGTTCAAGTTTTCACCAGGGAGAAAATGAAAGATGTCCTTATCTGAAGTGGGAAGATAAGTGCTGTGTCTTCCTCCAGCTTCTTCAGAGACATGGCAATCCTCTAAGTTCCCAAGGGGCACAATGAACGCACGCATACCGATCTTTTAGGCGTTATAAACCGTCATTGCAGGTCTCAGGAGCACAGCAATTCATTTTTACAATTTGAGTGCTGAGGTTAGGCCAATTCAGCTTTCTTAGACTAACCAGAGCATTAAATAACCAAAAAAATTCTTGGCACAGTTCTCAGCTTTAAAGCGTACTTCCTTCCATTCCCCATAGGTGAACTAGGAGTGATAACCCTTTTTCCTTGATTTCCAAGACTGTACTGCTTATTTCCTTGTGTAGGATAGATGCAGTTGGTTTGCTTTGTAACTAGAGATGCACATACAAACTATTTCACAGCACCAGCTAATTATTGTTTTGTAAAGTACATCTTAAGATGTCTTCCAATCTCCTACAACAGAAACTGCTAAGACAGAATCAAGTTTTGCCAGATTTCCTAGTATCTTTAACTTACTAGGAAGTATTTCAGTTTCAGAAATTAAATACTAAGATGCTGACTCCTCAAATCAGAGCTATTACTCAAAAATAATTAATTTCTAGTCAAGCATGTCAAAAACACACCCAAAGAAACTAAAAGCATAGGGAAAAAACCCACCACATTTCTTTTGTCTAAGGTGCTCTAGCTGGAGCCTTCTTGCAGCAGAAAGGAATGAGATTCCCCCCCAATGAAGCCTTAGAAGTGTGGAGGAAAATATTATATAAACTGACAAAGCTTCCACCTGATACTAAGTGTGGAAAAGCAGACATAGGTGATACCTACTAAGCTGCACTGGGCCACTTCAGTTAATTAGTTCCTCAATGCCTCAGAAAAGCTCTCACTCGGCTGCCTGCTTTAGCAACTTTTGTTTGAATTCTGAAGAAAAGCATATTGTTTCCTTAAAACGGCTCTTGAACAAAGTGCTCTAAAATTAGATTTCAAATGAACAAGGTTCAAGTTGGGGGTTATCAGACCCAGTCTCGGGCATTCCTTGATGGGAATTTCAGCTAAATCGGACTGAACTCAAGATCTTTTTAAGGTCTCAATTATGCTAAGCTAATGAATAGCGCATACAGTATAGAGACTGTACAAGACATTCTTCACCTCTAGAGAAAGACCACTTATAAGCTTTAAAGACTACATGTGGATTTTCAAAAAAGAATTTAATGGTTTTTATCCTTGTTTTTAGAACTCCACTTATTCTTTTTAAAGAAACAACATGCAACTGCCACATCCCTGTAATCTCACCATTTGAAACATTATCTCCCTCTGTTTTGCTTCAAGGGGGCAGAAGCAGAGAAACAGCGTCTAGAGATTTTCACTGGACCACAGGTAACATCCCTGTCGGACACCTTTAATAGACAGCCATTTCCGCCTACGGGAGAGAACGAATACTCCCTTTTCAATTATACAAGTCAATTAGGATCAGTGACGACAGGGTCTCAAAAGAATATCCTGCGAGCTTGTACCCAGCAAAACAGAAGGGCATTACCCACTCAACATTATTTCCCATGACATTTGGTTAGAGAAGAGGGGAAAAAAAAAAAGTAAGATTACCACCTACTCACACTTGTCAATATGTAACAGATGCTGAGAGGAGGTATATTATGCAGCTGAGAACTAGAAGCTGCTAGATTGTTGTGCTCAAGTTAAGGTTCCCTTCGACATTTCTGTCTTACAAAGTAGGCCGTAGTTTCATACATTTTTGTTTTTAAAGCTGGTCATAATTCCCACTAGGGAAATCATCAGCTTCTTGTAAGAGATTGGTCAGCACAAGACTAAAACGAAAACCTGAAAATACATCAACGTATACACTAATGTAATCATGAGAATGACAGAAAATTGAGTTTAGAGGTTTGGATTAAAATTAATTGCAACTCTTTTAAAAAAAACCCAGAAGTTACTACTGCTTCTGTGCAATAACTAAGCATATTAACTTGTGTTCAAATATATATATGCATTTAATATACTACTAAAGGTAGATCATATGTAACAACTGTAAGAACAGCTATAGATTAGTTTTTAACATTGCTTTTGGTTTTGAAATAAAAATAAAGAAGTTTTGCCTCCAACTTCCATTATATGTTTTAAATGAGAAAAAGGAATTAAAAAATTGCCAGATTTTAAAAGGGGCATTTATCAAAGCAAGACATTAAGGTAAACTTTTCTGCTTTACTTTGGCCCCCAGTGTTCTGAACCTGTGCTTGTTATTCTTTATGACAAAGCAGCATACACATAAATGTATATGGATCATAGCAGATGACATGTTTTGCAAGCATATGCTTTATCAGTTCCTAAGAATATCGTGCAGAATTCACAGAGCAGGGTAGTGTTTTACTCCCAAATCTCAGCACAGTATTCTTTTTCTGTCATGACACCTAGCACCAGGCTTCAAATTCGCTTTGTAGCAGTCCTTGTTAAAGATGGATGCAAAGTGCTTCACAAAAACCAGCTAAATGAGGAATAATCAGCTTTAAAGTACTACTCTCTTTTTGTTAGACAACTGAGTAACGTTGGCTGAAAAAAATGCAGGACTTCAAATTTTTTTATCTTGCTTTTGGACCCTTTGTGTACAAATGCCCATCTGTGCCACTCTCTGCTGCTTGATTATTGTTCCTCTTGCAATAAATAAATAAACAAACCAACCCCCCAGCTAGCGATTTCACTGCACTGAATAGTAACTTTTGAATTGCAGTCTTGCTCCATACAAGAAAATAACAACTCCAGTTAAGATTCTCCAAGTTTGAACAAGTCCGAGACAAAGTTAGTAAACTACAAAGTGTTTGGATGATTTGAACCTCACTGTCATGGGAGTTTGCAGAATTAGAACCCTGAATTTCTTCCAGAGCGCTGGTAATTAAGATGTATCTGTCATGTTGACTAAAAGCTGACCTAATGCTTTACACACTAGGCAGAAATGCCATTAATTACATTTCTCTAACAAATGAGGAGCCCTGGAACTCCTGAAGGATCCCACGTGAAGAGCAGGGTATACTTTGTACTTGTTCTTCATAGAAGAGTCTAAGAAAACATGCAAGAAGTACCAGATCAATGTCTGATCCTTTTCAGCATCTTCTATAATTCAAACATATCCAGAGACCGAAAATCAAAGTTGTCATGCATCTTAAAGATCAAAGTCAATACATGCCAAAGTCCAGGTGAATGGTTAGACTTTAGTACAAAGAATGTGGCCATGACCTACACAGCAAGGCTGTTTATAGCATTACTCTGGTGAAGAACCTAATACCTGATTTAGAGTAAGCTCTGAATCTCATTTGGAAGCTTTTGTGGCGAGGACCACAAATGCCAACGTACAATCACACTACAGAACTCGGAGCATTATCAAACCAGCAAGAGATACCAGAATAGCACAAAATGCAGGTACAACTTGAGATGTCATTTATAGTAGCAATGCTAGAAAAAGAATCCAAGAAAGCTCTTGCTTTTTTAGCTGGAGTATGCATTTAAGGACAGACCTTGTGCACACTTTGGGTGAATGGTAGAGAAAGAGGAGTAAATAACAGCTTGGCATTTTTTTTTTCCCCACCAAACTACTACTTTCCAGTTAGTCCATCTTTCTCCAGCTGTTGGAATGAATAGCGACACATAGGCCTGACAGACTAGATTCCTTTTATTCAGAAACATTTTATATTACTCTAGGCAACATATTTGAGCCCTGTTAAGTGTTCCGAATGTGCCCTGCACCGATGCCACAGCTCAACACAACAATGCTAGCACAGGGAGAGCTATCACCCTGAGGCATGATTTACACGGGGGATCATACAGGTATCCTGGGCTTCCAAAACTTCACAGATGCCACTAAAACGAAGTATATATTCAACCAGCATTAAAACAAACAACTGCATGGGCCAGCCCATATATGAATCTCAGGGCAGTTAATTTTATGCTTCTTACAATGCAGTATTGCAAAACTTATCTTCAAATGCACATCAAAATCATATATTTTTCCTAATTTAGGCAATGACAGATACCAATAACAAGCATTCACAGCCTTCTCTGACTTGCATTAGGACACTTCCTAGAAAGCAGAGTGAATGGAATGGAAAAGGGATAAATGACCAATGTCAGCCAAACAAACGTCACTGGATATTTATACAGTTCTTAGCATAAGGAACACTAATTTACTTTGGTGCCTGAAGCCTTGGCGATCATGAATAACGTCCAAAAGCTAGGGCTTTTGGACAAAATTTTCCCCATACTTTCTTTCACTTCACTGTGTGTTAATTGTAGAACTTGATTACTATTGACTGGAAGCTTTAAAAGCTTTTTTGATTCAGTAAAATAAATATTCCATATCGGCAGGGGAGTCATTATTTGTTTATTGTTGCTTTAGGACATATTCTCACTATTAGCAATATTATTTTTTACATATGTATACTTCACATGTGTGTGTGTGTATGTGTGTGTCTGTGTGCATAAGCAAGTATATAAGTGGGAAAACTTTTTCATTACATAGCAAACTAGTTCATTCCAAAAGTGGTTTATCATGACCATACTTGAAATTCTGGTTTAGATGAACTGGTTTGGTTCCCACACAACTGCTCAACCACTTCTTTTTAATTACCTTGATGTGGTATAGATTATTTACCGTAATTTAATAAAAGTCTGTTTCTCCAGAAACAGAAATTTAAAGACGTGGGTGCACAGATGTCAACGATCTAGCACTAATGCCTTCCCACTAGCAGCACTGTAACAGCTCAGTTATGTCCATGCAAGTAGCTCAAACTTAAGGATGTCCATTAAATAACTGAATTTCAGTCCTTGTATTGAATGCAAATGCTACCTTTGCCACAACCCAAAAAGCTCAGTACAAAATTAGGTGCAAAACCCCCTAATTCAATTCAAGCTGGCTGAAACCTTTATGAAACTTGATACCAATTCAGAAGTCAATGTTTTCAACACATCTGTGGTATCCAATCAGTAGTAAAAAAAAATCCACACACATGCACATGCTCTTTCCAAAGAACGTCTAGCATACAATTTTTTCAAAGTTTTAGGACAGATCACAGTTTCATTTTCATTCGTCCGGAGAGGCCAAATAGAACCACAAATAAAGAAACTGTTGAGAAAGCTTGATTTTGTTGGTAATTGCAGAAGATACATGAGATAGATTCTTCATTTAAAGCCAAACCACACTTTAAAAAAAAGTATTTTCAGATTCTTTATCAGTTTTGAAAAGAGTGCAGGGACTTCTACTGTTGCAAGTTTTTTTCTTCACAATTCTGAGAAGAAAATATTCCTCCTTCATGAACCAATTGGGAAGTATAGAAGGAATATGAACATCATTTTATAGCAAAGATGATGAAAATGCTTCAAGATTTGTTAGGTCAGTGGTTCAGAAAGTTTACAGGAACCATGAATTGTTTCTGTTTGCAGCTGAGTTTATTCAGTGTTAAGAAGTGAGAGGTCAGTATTTGGACAGACTCTGTTCCTTACAGTACTTCAACACTAGCTTCATTAGGCTTATTGAATTTCAGTTAGTGATTGTCAAATGAGAGATATTAATAGTTACAAGGGAATTGTTCTGTGTAATCATGTCCTTAAAAAAAATACTCTTTTTGGAGAAGACTCTTGTGGAGGACACCTATTATGAATCTGAACAAGCACATCTGCTACCATGTAAGACTATCTCAAAGATAAAAGCAAGACTTCAAAATGTTTCAAAGAAGCAGTAGCAGCCTTCCCTTTGATAGTCCTCTGATAAGCCGAAAAACTAACCTCTAAGTGCCTTTTCTAAGAACACTAGAGGACAGCTGAGTGCTTTAAAGCTTATTTTTAGTGACTAAAGAATTTTTTGTTTGTTTGTTTTGCTAGTATCAACCCTACTGTTTTTTCCTTACAAGAATAGTAAAAATTTCTGTGCTTAAGCGAATCAAGCTAGATCAAACATTGGCAGGTTGGGCAGTTTTCAGTTCAGATTTAGTTCAGTTAACTAACATGAAATACATCATTGCATATGATATTACCAAATCAATTCAAGACTTAAATACTTCATCTCTAAAAGCACATCACTGATTATTTTTACCATATTGTACAATTATGTATTTTTATATACAGACTAATAAAAGATACCAAAGACAAATACTATTTTTTTTTCTTATTCACATTTCTGTACACAATTGGGCATCATAAATACAGTAGAATAATATTTAAGCAGAACAGCCATAGCCTCCCCTATGTTATTTTCATCAGTCCCATGACACACTGAGTAAGAGTTCTAACTACCTCAAGTATAAATAGAATGAAAATGGCAATTTAAAAGAAAAGACAGTGACTCACAACCAATAAGAGAAGAACATGATGGTGATTCAAATCAAATCAACGTCCAGGCTTGTCTGCTTCTAACTCTAGGTAATTTTTGACAGTGGGAATAGTTTGTTTGTTTATTTATTTATAAATCTTATCCTTTAAGTCTACCAAACATTTTAAAAGGAAATTGCTAAGACTGCTGTACTGGAAGACACTACACTTGATTTTAAGAAGAGATTGTTCTACCTCCTTTTGATCCAATATTCCTTGTTGATTGAAGACTCAGTACAAGCCTTACCTTTGCAGTGTCTGTGTAGCACATCTAATGCAGCAATGAGGAACTCGTGTGCATCTTGTTGCTCGTACCCTGCTAAATGCCGTGCATGAGTCCATACCAGGTGCAATAACCTATATGGAATGTGAGGAGATCGGTGCCCAGAGTAAAACTGCTCAAAGCAAAGAAAAGGACATGACTGTTAACAAGTTACACAGCCTCAGTGCATTTAATTATTAAAAACTTAAATGAGTGCAATTAGTCAAATAAATTTAAACCATTTAATTCTGATGGCCTTCATAATAAAATACAGAGACAGCTTTTTATCACAGGCTACTGAAGAGGTGATCTCAGAACTGAGCACCTCAATTTTCTCCTTTGAAATTCCTTAATTTTGTGATGGATTAGCCTAAAATAAAAAAAAAAAAAAATATTGGGAAATCG